AACAATTAGGGAATAGTTAGTCAGAAAAAAAGGGCCTTGTAAGTCAATAAGCATTGAAAAGCAAAACTAGAGAGACTACGTCATTTGATTCGGTGCATCATAGCAGTCCACATTTTTTCATCAGACCGCAACTTTTGGAGCGAATAGAAATAGTGTTCCATGAGTCTTGTCAGTCAAAAACCTCGAAAAGCAAAGCTCCCCAGACTACGTCAATCAAACAGATGGGTTGGAGAGAGTTGTTGGTAAGAAAAACCAGCGAATGACTCGCACCTACGGTGCTTCAAATAGGTCGTTGAACGCAAAAAGAGCTTCCTATAACATGGGATAAAACAGCAGTATTTAGAGGGCAATTGTGAATTTTAAACAAAAAAATCATTTCTCCAAAACTACTGAATTTCACCTAAAATTTTACATCGAAAATCAAAAGACTTGAACAGAGAAAATAAGAGGGCAGATCTGATTCCTTATATTGTATCCAAACAGCACCCCACGATAAGGTTGAGAACTTCAATTTCTACTAGCTGTTTTCAACTGAATTTTTTTTTTAATTGAAAATTCAAGAAAAACGCCTTAAATCGGAAAACAAAAAGAGAGGGTCAGTAAAAGTTGAAAACCAGACTTGTAACCGAACATTTCTCCTCAATGTACACTAACAGCACCCCACCATTGAGTTGGCAATTTCAACATCGGTTAAATTTTATTGAAACTTTAAAAAAACACAAAACGCCCATTTCTCGAAAAGTGAAAGAACTTGAGCAATAAAACTTGTAGGGCAGTATTGCAACGCCAAAACGTACCCTGAAATCACCCTATCATAGCGCAGATAATATCAAGTTGAATAAGTTTTCTTAAATCAAAGTGAAAATAAGGGTATCTGAAATAACTTGACAAAAAAATGATTAACAAAACTGATTGTCCACAATTGAAATTTGACATGTTTTTCTCATTTTTGTCTCTACAGAAACAGCATCTTGCGACGCCTTTTTTTACAGTTTATTCGGGACTCACTGACCAAAATGAGTAAGTGTTTTCGATGAAAGCCGCAGGGCGCTAACCAACTAACCAAAACTACACAATTATCGAGGATTTGAGAATAGTTGTTATATATAAATAGCCTTATGACTAGAATTTTATTTTATAGAATTTAGTTTAGATTATCAACCTTGATGGCTTCTTAATTCTGGTTAACACATTAGTAAGAATTTGTTCTTAAGATTATTTTCAAAAATTCTCGCTATTCGATATTCAAATCAGACACCTCAAACTTCGGGTTTCACGTGGAAACAGGGAAAAATTGGTTGCAAAAAAAAATAACGAAAGAGATTCACCGACCAAAGTACTTAAGTGTTTTCAATAAAAGCCGCAGTGTGCTAAACAAAAACCAAAACAACACAATTATCGAGGATTTGAGAATAGTTGTTTCATATACCTAGCCCTTTGACTAAACTTTTATTTTCTAGGATTAATTTTAGATTATTAAACTTGATGACTTCTTAATTCTGGTTAGCATATTAATAAAAAAATGTTCTTGGAAATATTTTTAAAACTTCTCGTTTTTCGATATTAAAATCAGTCACCTTTAGCTACGGATTCCACTTAGAAACAGGGAAAATTAGGCTAACAATTAGGGAATAGTTAGTCAGAAAAAAAGGGCCTTGTAAGTCAATAAGCATTGAAAAGCAAAACTAGAGAGACTACGTCATTTGATTCGGTGCATCATAGCAGTCCACATTTTTTCATCAGACCGCAACTTTTGGAGCGAATAGAAATAGTGTTCCATGAGTCTTGTCAGTCAAAAACCTCGAAAAGCAAAGCTCCCCAGACTACGTCAATCAAACAGATGGGTTGGAGAGATTTGTTGGTAAGAAAAACCAGCGAATGACTCGCACCTACGGTGCTTCAAATAGGTCGTTGAACGCAAAAAGAGCTTCCTATAACATGGGATAAAACAGCAGTATTTAGAGGGCAATTGTGAATTTTGACCAAAAACGTCATTTCTCCAAAACTACTGAATTTCACCTAAAATTTTACATCGAAAATCAAAAGACTTGAACAGAGAAAATAAGAGGGCAGATCTGATTCCTTATATTGTATCCAAACAGCACCCCACGATAAGGTTGAGAACTTCAATTTCTACTAGCTGTTTTCAACTGAGTTTTTTTTTAAATTGAAAATTCAAGAAAAACGCCTTAAATCGGAAAACAAAAAGAGAGGGTCAGTAAAAGTTGAAAACCAGACTTGTAACCGAACATTTCTCCTCAATGTACACTAACAGCACCCCACCATTAAGTTGGCAATTTCAACATCGGTTAAATTTTATTGAAACTTTTAAAAAACACAAAACGCCCATTTCTCGAAAAGTGAAAGAACTTGAGCAATAAAACTTGTAGGGCAGTATTGCAACGCCAAAACGTACCCTGAAATCACCCTATCATAGCGCAGATAATATCAAGTTGAATAAGTTTTCTTAAATCAAAATGAAAATAAGGGTATCTGAAATAACTTGACAAAAAAATGATTAACAAAACTGATTGTCCACAATTGAAATTTGACATGTTTTTCTCATTTTTGTCTCTACAGAAACAGCATCTTGCGACGCCTTTTTTTACAGTTTATTCGGGACTCACTGACCAAAATGAGTAAGTGTTTTCGATGAAAGCCGCAGGGCGCTAACCAACTAACCAAAACTACACAGTTATCGAGGATTTGAGAATAGTTGTTATATATAAATAGCCTTATGACTAGAATTTTATTTTATAGAATTTAGTTTAGATTATCAACCTTGATGGCTTCTTAATTCTGGTTAACACATTAGTAAGAATTTGTTCTTAAGATTATTTTCAAAAACTCTCGCTATTCGATATTCAAATCAGACACCTCAAACTTCGGGTTTCACGTGGAAACAGGGAAAAATTGGTTGCAAAAAAAATTAACGAACGCAAAATTGGCCCTGGTAGGTCAATATGCATTAAAAAGCAAAGCTAGGGAGAGACTACGTCATTTGAATCGTTGCATCATAGCAGCCCGCATTTTGCAACAGACCACAATTTTTGGAGTGAATAAAAGTGGTGTTCCATGGGACTTGAAAGTCAAAAAACCTCGAAAAGCAAAGCTGCGCAGACTATGTCAGTCAAACAGATGGGTTGAAAAGATTTGTTGTTAAGAAAAACTAGCGCATGACTAGCGTCTACACTGCTTCAATTAGATCGTTGAACGTAAAAAGAGCTTCCTAAAACATAAGATAAAACAGCAAAAATTAAGGCAATTGTGAAGATAAACTGGGCTCATCTCTCGGAGGTTTCTATTTCATTAATTAAATTTTTCAAAAAATCAAATGTTAAGCTATTTTTGACCAAAAACGTCATATCTCCAAAACAACTGAATTTCACCAGAAATTTTATCTCAAAAACCAAAAAATTTGAACACACAAAATTAGAGGGCAGATTTGCTACCTTATATTGTATGCTGATAGTACCCCACATAGGGTTGAGAATTTCAATTTCTATTAGCTGTTTTTAAATGTGACATTTTTTGAAAAAAAAAAAAGAAAAATCATGAGAAACGCCGTATCTCGGAAAACAAAAAAATATGGGCAGTAAAAGTGAAAGACCAGTTAAACATTTATTACTTGACCGTACCCCTGATTGTACCCTAACAGCATGCCACCATAGGGTTGACAATTTCGAGATCGAATAAATTTTTTGAAATTGTATCTTTGAAAAGTTCTTTTAAAAGCCATAAAACGCCATTTCGAAAATTAAAAGGACTTGAGCAGTCAAATTTGTAGGGCAGATTTGCAACGCCAAAATGAAAAAATGTGCCCTGACATCAACCCACCATAGCGCTCATAATATCAATCTTAGTAAGTTTTTATTATATCAAAGTTCTTCGCAAAAACATGGAAATATCATAAAAACCTCCATATCTCGAAAACCATAACGATTTGAGCCGTCATTTATTTCGGTGAAGATTTGCAACTCCTAAGCGTACGCTGTGACTTCAAGTTCGGTTTGTTTTTTTTATCTAGGGTTTTTGAAAAAATTTGAACAAAAGATAAAAAAAAACGCAATATCTCGAAAAACAAAAAGATTTGAGTTTTATGCAAATTATCAAAAAGAAGATTTGCAAAAGGAGTGTACCCTGACAGCACCTCACCATAGGGTTGAGAATTTCAAAAGCGTTTAGTTTCTTCGTATCTTAATTTTTTGAACAAAAAAATGAAAAAATCGCCATATATCTAAAACAAAAGGATTTGAGCTGTCATATTTAGAGGCCAGAATTGCAACCACAGAGTGTAATCTGACTTTAGTTTTGAGCAGTCATATTTAAAGGGAGATTTGCCATTTCTGGGTGTACCCTGAAACCACCCCAACTTGTGATTGAGAATTTCAAGATCGGTGCAGGGTTTTTTTGAAAAAGAAGAAAAAATCATTAGAGTCGCCAGATCTGGAAAACCTAAAAGATTTGAGCAGTCATGCTTAGAAACCAGATTCGCAACGAATGAGTTTAGTCTGACTGCACCCCAACATAAGGTGAGTATTTCAAGTTCGAATATTTTTTAATATCTTCAATATTTTTTTAAGCTGAAAAAAATCAGAATTTGAGCAGTCATATTTGAACACCAGATTTTCAAACCCTGAAAGTAAAATCTGATAATCAATTTCGATTTCGTAATTAGATATCGATCACGTTTTATGTGATTTTTTGCTGTTCGATAGAAGAGTTTGCCTTTCTTTCAACAAATGAATTGAAATGAACTTGAAAAGAAATCAAAAGTCAAACCGCGAAAAATAAATTTTAACGTGAACAAATGTTAACTTTTTCCTGAAAACAAATAAAAAACAAGAAAAATCACCAAAAACTATATAAGACTACTCACTGCGTTCACTGCTCTTGATTAGTAGGAAAGCCATATCCGTCGACGAATGCTTTATTTTTTTGGCTATCTGACGCTTTTAATCAAATTGAGCGAACGACTTCCTCGGTTAAAAGAGAAACAATTAAGATTGAAATTTGAATTCGCAATTCAATAAAAAACTAAATCTTCATACGAAAATACAATAGACAAAATTGGTTAAGTTTCAGTTCGAGTTTGTTAATTTCAGATGCTTCAGTTATAGTCATCGAATGAGTTGTAGAAGTCAAAATCAGGTCCACCCGTAGCTTTCTTTGCTTCACCATACTTTCATTTTTATGTGTCTGCTGCTCTTAACTGCTTGTAGCATTTTCGAGCATACTTTTGTCCGAAGAATATTTTGAAGCTCCCAGAAAATTCATAACAATCGAAACTTTGGATTACGGCAGTTACGATTTCATAAATACAAAGAAATTGGCTCACTTTACAAAAAATAAGCTGTTCATAATACGAGTTTAATTAATTAAACTTCAAAGAGTGAACGGTAAAAGCTGGTCATAATGCGAACAGATTAAAGTCAAAATAATTTCTTTCGAGTACATAGGGAATAAATAAGGACGATAACTTAATTTAAAACAACCACAAAATAACTTTCTTCAAACACTTTTAAATTGAACTGCTCTGCTGGTTACAAAAATCGTTATTGGCTGTTTATTTTTGGTTTTGGCATTTTGAAAAAAAATAGTGTAACTGGAATGAAATTTATAATTGGAGTGGAAAACTTGGCCGATATGATAGGCGATTTCTGTCTACATTTCTGACACACCTGTCTTGAAAAGTTGTTTCGCCAAATATGAGTTTTCATTTTATGGGACACGGATTACATAATAAAACTCCCATAAATAGTAGATATTTACTACTTTATTTGGCACGGTACAGCAATGTTCCCAAGAGAGCACCAGCACCCAGAACTCCCGCGGCCATGACATTCGTGAAATGATTCCACCTATTCTCACTACTTGCACTCCCATTAATGCACTCCGAATCAGCATTACTTGTTCTTGCACTACCATTACTCATTCTACTCGCAGATGTACGTATTCCGTTCACCCCATTACGACTATTTTTATACGAAGTCTTCTCGTTATTATAACTCGTGAGCGTCTGTGTCGTGTCATCTGTGCCACTACTATATCCCCCATTAGCCGAAGGGTTGTCCTCGAGTGACGTCGTGAGTCGTGCGTCATGTAGGATCCAAGAACTTCCTCCTCGGCTTCTGTCGTTTGACGACACTGTTGAATTGGACTCGTGAGATCGGCTGCTTCGTGAGAGGAGCATTGGCGGGTGGTTGAGCGAAGAGGCGAACACGTTGTTTTCCGTCGGGTCTTGTTCTCTCTCGGATAGATTCGGGGATTGTGGATTACTCATTGAGGTTGAGTTGCCGCCACTGGCTGATATTCTGACCCATGCTTCCTAAACAAAACAATTAAATAGCCGATAAACCTCTTTCACAGTTTTGACCATAAATGAAGTTGCTACAAGCTCAAAAAAATAAGAAAACACATTTTTTTCAAATCTCAGAAATAATTGAGGAAAAATCGCTAGCACAAATTACCAGTGGGCAAAATACCAGGAAGCTATCAAGATACAGGTAAACTTCGGAACGTTGAAAACTATACCAACTTCGCTCTCCAATATACTGACATTGAGCATAAAACATGTAACCATAAACTCAGTAGCTTACCCATCCTCCATAATGATCGATGAAGTATCCCATATTGCGGTTGATGAAGGAGGACACTTTATTGGCCACAAAGATTGTATTGGATCTGTCCAAACCACCACTCAGCTCACTGGTGCTACACGACGATACCGACATTCCATTTATTCTAGAAGTCATTTCATAACAGGAAACACTGTCGGTTCCTATCGTCGACCTTCGGTCCCGGTGGTTATTCAAACTCGTAGCCACGTTATGGGAATTAGTATTACCAAGAGAGTAATTTGACGTTGACCTTTTACAAGATTCGATATCATTTCCATTATGCATTCCATTGTGAAAAGGTTCATTGTCAGTGGGGAAAACTTCATTACTGTTAATTGAAGCATGACTCGAAACGCTAGATCTGTTATGGTGACCGTTCTCAAATATTCGACTTAGACTAGTCTTCTTCATCAATTTGATCTGTTTCTGCACTTCCAAGCAAGCTGCGAAGTAGACTAGAATTACTACATTGCTCTGCATGAAGTTAGGCGGTGTTACCAGTTCGTTGCTTGTTCCCGAATCAGAGGTCAAAATCAGGTGGTTATTTGACCTCGTTTTTGAAATCATAGGCGGCGTCTGGTTTCTAGGCTGCACAGGCAAATGACACTTTCTCAAAATGCCGTTTCCTACATTTTCAACAGCTACTTCAGGCGCTTCCAGCATTTCCTGGTCCACACCATGAGTGACTTCTTTGAAGTTATCGTCGTACAGTTCCAACATCTTCTCCAGAATTTGGTAGAAGCAGGGCGAAAGTTGAATGGGCAAATTGGGTTTGGGTCCGACCCAGTTCAAATTATGCCGTCTCAAGATGAAGTCGAAACTGAAGACAACGACAGCTTTTGTGTCCAAATAGGTGATGCGTCGATTTTCAGTCATAGCTTTGTATTTTTTTCTTCAATAGCTAAAAGTCTTATTCTTCTTCGATGATTTAAAATGGGAGCAACTGAATTCGATTTTTTCTTTGATCTGACTTCAGTGTTTGTTAATTTATTCTTTTTTATTGCCAAAACGAGAGTAAATTGAAACCAATGCCAAACAGTCTTCAATTTTACTATAAATAAACTGCGACTCAATCTTTATAAAAACTTATTGCAGCTATTTATTTCTGTAGCTGACTAAATTAGGACAAAATTTTCATTGCAATAAATTTTGAGAACGTTTAATTTTGACTGAAGTTGGTTTAAAATTATTAAAGTCGGCCGCTCGCACAACTGACAAGAGAAATGGTAACAACACCAACAGAACAGAAGTGTATAATGAACTGTAACTCAAGTAATAACAAAACTTTTATGAAATGTATCTCAACTCGTGATCTGATAGTGGTAAGTAAGAATGAGTGTTCGACTAAAGCCAGACAAACTAAGAGCTCGATTTAGTTTGGTAACCGAAATGCTAAGTTTCTGCAAATAACTATAATTCCACTTTGGTCTGTTCCCTTCAGACCAACTGTGTGCGTTAAAAAGTCGAAACTGAGTCTCTTAACAAAAATTGAACTGTAAAGAGAACTCTACCACTGAATAAGATAGGCGTCAACAAACTTCAATTTAACTTAACAAACTGCAACAAAAAGGGGCTCCTTTTTCAATCTAGTTTTTTAAGTCTCTGAGAAAAGAAGTTGCACTCTTGCTTGTAGCTGGTTTCAGTAATAACAAAATATCGAACAACTTTGCAAAGTTACTTCTAAGTTGTTTGATCTGTTCAAAAATGAGCAGTATCAGTTACACTCTTTCTTAAACAGTGAAGACCATGACTCTTGCATCACATTTGATCATACTAGTGGCAGCAGTCGTAACAATTACATCAACAACTGAAACTCCTTAGTCCCTGGTCTTTACGAGTTGCAAATGGGACTAAGCGTAGTATTTTTAATCGACAGAGTAAGAAACGTAACGTATTATAATATGATATGATAGTAAGTTCTGATCTAACAATGATATCACAATCTTTCGACTGAAAGGTCTGTCGCCTAACTTGTACACTGATCGATAATATCTTTGACAGCTGTTTGCTCGTTTTGATTGATTTGAAGACGTCAGAAGTGTTTACACGATGACGTAATATTTTGTCAGGGTCAGTATCAAAACCAATGGCAAGTTTCGTGGGACATCAAATATTGTCCAATTCTGGGAGAAGCGTATTAGAAGAAAGCTATTTGTTGCTCACAACAACTTATTGCACTAGAACTTAGAGTCACTTCAATTGAAAGCAGAAGATGCTTCTTGCATTGCCAGCCACTCCTTGTATCTTGATTCACAAAACCTGAAAATTCAAAAATTTTATGCACATATGAATAAAATAAACTAATTTATTATTTCCATCAAATGAAAAACCTCAAAATCAGGAATATTCAAGTTTTCAGTGCTCTTCGAAAAACATCAAAATCCAGACGCGCGATGATTGCTAGTTTTTAATGAAAACTCAGAACAACTACGGTTGAGCAAGACTGAAAAGATTAGCTTGCAAATATGGAGAACGTCGTTTCAAAGTAGGTCCTTTTTCGACCATTTCAGAATTTTTCATTTCGCTCGCAAATCTTGAAACAAATTTCACTTTTGAAAATAAAAGTCATTCATATTATTTTGCTTCATTTGCACTTCCGTAATTCGAGAGCGTATTTTGCATTCCTTTCAGAAATCAAAAGCCAACAGTGAAAAATCAAATTTGACAAAAAAAAAACAAACGACCTTTATAAGTTTCTTCAGTTCGGTCATAAGCACTTAACAATTTTAACTTCAGGGCTTTGAACGAGAAAAAGTTAAACGACTTAAGTAAGTGTCTTCACTTCGTTCACTGACAGGTGGAAAAAACGTTAAGACTATCACCTTCGATCAACCATCCATTAGTCTCTCGTTTTTATCAATAACTGGGAATGACAAGCTAAAAGTAAAGCAAAAGATGTTGAGCTTTCATATTAAAGGAAGGACCCTGATGCAACAACTTTTTTTAAAAATTACGTCAGACTTTCTCAGCAAATAACCATACAAAGGCTCAAAAAATATCTGAGCAAAAAAATGGCCGTATCATACAGTTTTAAACCTTTCTGCCATCTAATTTTATTTACAGATAGATCATCTAAACAAGAGATATAAATAGGATCACAACTAATGTTTCCTTAAAGAAAATTATGTCAAAAAAATTCAATGAAAAACTCAAACTGGAGCGTTGAAAAATGCGAGAGGAACTCAGAATAAGCGTTTCTCATCCGATGGGAAAGTAAGGATGTATTAGAGCATTTGACTATAGATTATCCGGTTGCTGAAGGAAAAGTAGTGGCACATCGGGAGTGATGGTACCAAGCAATCATACAATTTCGGGTTCTAATCGCACATGCGCTGCAATTTGCCAAGTGAGTAATAGGCTTAATAGGCTTATCTGTAAGTGAGCTCTTTTTCAGCCTAAAATAATTAACCTCCGTGTCAGGCCTCCAGATGGTTTACTAAAAGCATATCAGTTAACTCATGAACTAGTTAAGCTATCTACTATATTCTGTAGAACAAAAATTTGGAAATTTCATGCACTTTTCATGCACGTGTCACACAAAATCATTAATTTTTAAATCTAGTAAATAATAAATATTTTGAAGTTAAAAAAGAAAATAAAGAAATTAAGCATAAAAATGCGAAGTCAATTTCATTTCTTCTACCTTAAATTCGAGCTTTGTGCCTGAATGTCACAAAATTTGTTCCGACCACTTCTTGGAGGGAAATTTCAACTTTTTAAAATACTTTATTTTCCACGCGAAATCAGGTAATACAAGAAATATCAATATGGGACCAGTGATAAATCATATCAAAGCCTTTTCAGACGTGATTCGATTGACATTCGAAAGTTTTCATGTAGCGAGAAGAGCCGGTTTGAAATTTTAGCTTTTTTAAAAATACTTTCATTTAGGACGTGAAAACTTTATTTTTTGTATAGGAAAAACTTTCAACGCTTCATTTAGCGCTACCTTTGCAATAAAAATTTTGCTACCTTTGCAATAAATTTTTTTTTCAAATACATAGCCAACAGAAAGATGGAAAAATGAAAGACAAATGAATAAACCGAAAAAAAATGATTGACATTTTTGAACATTTTCAACTTTCGAAAAACATATGCATACCATGTTAAAGGTCTTTGAATTTAAAGAATTAATTATGGCTGGCACAAAAGATTTGAAGTGAATTATAAAAAAACCTTTTGAATTTTTTTGGTTTTGTATTCATTTTTTTGAAGACAACTAGTCGATTATGATTATTTTTATTAACGTTCTAAGCTTTCGTATTTCCTCTCCTCATACCAAGCAAAAACTGTACGAATTTGAAACAGGAAATGTTTTTCTTTGAAAATTTTTATGAGTGTGGTCGGAACTTTGACACAGGCGAAGTTGCACTTCGCATACACAAGCAAAAACATGACAATTTCTCCGCATACGCGTTAATAGCTCGAACTTTATCGCACTTTGTCCAAATTGGCCATTTTTAAACCCCCTAACTTTACTAAAAATGATCACAGGTGAAATATCTTCCCAAATTTAAGCTCAGGACAACAATACTTTTTGAATGATATGAAAAAAATTGCGTCAAAAATGGCTAGTTAAAAAGTCGAAATGTCTGAAAAAAAACCACCCCGAGCACAAATATTCCGTTACTTTCGTTACGAAAGTCGGAAAAATAATAGTCTGTGTACAAATCCTTAGCATTCGCTGTACTTAATAGCTGGTTATTGATAAAAATGAACACTTTTAAAATTAACACTTTTCATCGCAACAATATTTGCGTCGCAACAACATTTGCGACTTAGGTTGGAAAAAAGATAGTTCAAACTTTAACACAAGCATTGCTTGTGTCAACAACTTGCGCAGCAACCAGCTGCTCTGGCTTTCGAAGTTTTTGGAATTTTAATCGGGATTGTTCATTGAGGCTACTGATTGTGCCTGGAACAGAAGCCATTCTAAGCTAAAGTTCCTTCCTACTCTTTCGAAAGCTCGGAATATCAAGATGATTGTATAACTGTTTTTAGAGGCCAGGATCCTCTAAAATGATGTAGTATTGCTTTAATTTGGTTAATAAGATCAACTCAACTTGAATTCGGACTAGAAAGTGACAAGGAATAAGTTAGGTCTGGACTTTCCTATAAACTACGCAAGAGCACACAATTAGACCTCCGGAACCGCCATCATACAGTTCCGTGAAAAAAAAAAATCTGTTAAATCTCGGCGTTACTTGACTCGCCTTAGTCTCTCTCTCTCTCTCTCTCTCTCTCTCTCTCTCTCTCTCTCTCTCTCACACACACACACACACACACACACACACACACACACACACAACTTGGGATGTTCTAAGTTCTAAGCAAAAAATCAATCGAACACGTCCGGAATTTCCTAAGAATTCAAAAAATCTAACCAAAAAAATACAAACATTCAGTTAATTTCAGATAAAGGTGTGAAACAGATAACTTGTCGAGATTTCAGATATTTAATCGAAGATTTCATTTGTACTTACGTGAAATGCTACTAGTATTGTTAAGGACGCTTTCAAACCTAATTTCTAAATATCAATCTTGTAAACTGAACCCAGTAACCTTCGCTCCATAAATTAGTACACAGGTTCAGACATTTCATATAACAGCAGAGGTGATTAGAAGATAACAACTCACTCTTTTCTAGGGTAATGCTACAACTTACAACAATCATTCGACTGACTGACTAGATTAGACAGAGTTAGCTGCTGTACAAATTTGAGTTGACAATCAATTAGACTATTGTTCTTCTCTGAGTAATAGGTTAACGCTTTTAGGACAATCAGCCCTCCCCCCGACAAACTGATCAGACAGCAAGAAGGAAATATCAATATTGGCAAACTTTTTTGTCTGTTCATCCAACTCCAATGCATTAGGTTCAAAGCACGTTCCCTACGCAACGATATAATACCATGTTATAAAATTTGGCAACCATCTGCAAAGATTATTTATTGAGCTAAGATTTCAAGCTATAGATAGCAAACAACACCTGAAAACGAAGACATTTTCCGCCACCAGTGCAAAAAATTACACAATTGTGATCACGCGCTGTCGCATATTAATTATGGTCAAATACAGCAGCAGGAGCAGCTACAAAAGAAAAAAAAAGGATAGACGGTTACTGTGCAAGTAGCACAGAATGTTCCGACCATAGTCTTAAAAATATACCAAATTTTTTGAATTTATTGTTCGTTTTTTTTTCGGCGAGGTGTGATAAAAAGAGCTGAAAAAAATACTGGGCATTAGGTATATGCGAGGTGTGATAAAAAGAGCTGAACAAAATACTGGGCATTAGGAATATTCGACATTCATTGTAAACTGAGAAAATTGAGAATTTTTGAAGAAAAATTTCGAGAAAAAAATTTTTTAAAACAATTATTTTAGCAGTTTTTTGAAATTAAAAAAATTTAAATTCTAAGAAGGCGCTAAAACACTAAAAAAAAACTAACGCTACTCAAGATAAGCTAAATTTTTACGTTTTACATTAAGCTATTGTAAGCTTTTAAGCAATTAAAAAAAGACTGCTCGCTCGCTTTATTCGGTCGAAATAAGACGAAAAATCAAGAATTTCGAACCGGTTTTTCTCGACACTGGGATTTTTAAAAATTTTTAATGTGGTTCGAATCACGACTGTAAGGCCTTTAATATGATTTCCCACTCAAACCAGTCCGATGATTATTTGTGGTACCCGACTTTGAGTGGAAAACAAGAAAAAAAATAAACACACCCGAATACAAAGTTCCTCCACATTTTCAGCAGTCGGAACAATAAACCTGCTTCATACATCTCTCGAGCTTACTCTTAACTAGTGTTGACCTCAAGTAATTTCCTATTTAAATGATAAAGAAGAGTTATAAAGGAAAACCATTGACAAATTTGTTCATTTGTTTTGTTATGTATGTGCCTACAACACTTACCATAGAACAAGTATAGGATAAAACAGCCAAACACCCTTGAACTATCAAAGAGGACTTAGGATGTTGTTAGTGTTGAAAAAAGAACTAGAAAAACTTTTTAGAAATTTATAACGAAAAAAAATCAGGTTTCAATTTATTCAAATTTTTGTTCCAAGTGGTAATTTTGGGAACAAAGTCTTATCGATTTCATAAATAAAACTGAAATTGTAGGAAACAGTATATTAGGTAAATAAGGCAACATAACTAAATCCGACAGCTAATCAGCTGAAAATCAACCAAAATTGTTCGGGAAAAAATTTTAATGAAAAAATACATGTACTGCCCAAATAGTATCCACG